AACAAAACCAAATTAAATGAGCAATGGCTTTTTTCTTCAAGGGATAGGGTTTAGAATAAGTTAATTCAGATAGCACATAGATTTTGGTCCTGTGCTACGACAGCAATCACGGACCCCTTCACTCCTTAATAGGCATGGGCTGTAAAACTCACAGGAACTATAAAACTGTGGGACCATATCTAATCGCAGCAGAAGGGTCTGCAAGTCAGTGTAGTACTACAACTCCAGTCCAGTAGAAAGTTCAAGTTAATCATCTGCTTGCTTGGGAATACCCCTAACCCAAGTCTCACAGAAAGAATAAATCCGGGCACGAAACTTCAAAGGTATTTTCCTGCCTAACGTTCACTGAAAGCGTTGCGAATTAAACACCAAAATGCCTTTGAATTGCTTGGCTGCGATCCCCCTTCGAAGGCACTTGCCATCAAAGTGTCTGCTCATGCGTGCGGAGCCTGGAAGGAGGCCAAGCCCAGCGCGATGGTTCCCTATCCAAAGGGCTTCGGCAGCCTTTTCCATGTTGTCCGCGCGAGCATTGTTCTGCTGACAGCTGATTTGATCCTTTGGCATAGGAAGGAAATGTAGTTTACATAGCTGGTGAAGGTCAGCAGCATCCAGAGCGGCCATTCGGCAAGGCGGCTGCTTCCCCTCCCGGGTTGGTGAGCTACTGCGGGTCCGACTGTAAAACAACTTACAGATGTTAGATTACAGATAAAAAGTAATGGCAGAAAATGTATGCATGACCCTTAAAAAAGAAAGTCGGAAGAAAACCATGATCTGAGGGAAGTTACATTTTCTTCTTTGGTTGGTTTGTTGAAAGCTGAAAATTGAGACACCTATTCCCAAATACTTCTGTTCCACCAAAGGGTTTGTTTCCTAGAGGTCCGAAGAGCCTCATCTCCGTATGTTTGCAGAAAAAAAAACCCAATAGACATCGGCTGAGTCTCTGATATGCTGGATAGGAGCATGCCTTCCCTTCATTAACTTTACATCCTTTGGTGAGGAGGAGGGAAGAAGGTGCGTGAGCAAGGTGCAACTTCCTTTTCTACTGCTCTTTGTCCACTAACGCCGCAGATTCCTCCCGCCAGTGAAGCAGCAGTGGGACTCTCGTTCCTGTCCTTATCTACCTGCTGCTCTATTTCCTTTCTGTCATTCTCTTGGGCCATACAAATATGGATTCAAGCAATCCGTTGCTCATCGACTCTCGACGTTGTCAAAACCGGCCTTGCATTAGCTCTTTCAAAGGATGCTCTCTCAGTTTTGGCTTTCACCACCCCGGCTGAGCTTAACCTCAGCCTCAACAGTTTCAGTCAAGTCCCTCAAAAGAGGTAGTTATTTTTGCTCTTGGCCACCGGTGGCTTGAGCCTGGTCATGAAGCAGCTGCTGGGGGGCCACTGCATCCTCTCCCGGCCACGAAATGGGAGGCAAACCCTTTCAGGTCCGGCCAAAAGGGCCCCGGCACAGGCAGGGGCTTGCTGTGCTTTTTGCAAGTTAAACCTTCCCGAACTGCTGGGGCTTGTGCAAAGTGGGGTTTAGCCCCCAGGCACCCAGCTTTTCCCAAAGTGAAACAGGGCTAGTGGGGCTCAGCCTATGGAAGCTGCGACATCCCTAATTCCCCCACGGCAGAAGGCAGCTTGGAAAGGTTTGATAGATGGGACTGCTTGATAGATAGGGCTGTTTTCCCAACACTGTGTGAAAGCTCCAGCACTATTGATCCCTGAACACTCATCAGGCCACGGTTAGTGGCAGCATGCGCTGGGATACACCTTCGCTGGCTCCTGGGGACTGGAACAGCTCGGCCACTGTGCTTTGCTCTGCACTGGGATCCCCACCCGCCTGCCTTCCCCAGAAACCATGAAACCCCTTATCTAACCCTGTGCTATGTCTGGGCTAACTTCTGCGAGTCTGAAGTTTATCAAGCGTATCAGCTCAAGCTCGAGCCTAAGGCTGTCGCTGCCAGGATGAGCCTCTCGGTCCTGCTCGCAGCCTGCCAGGTTGCTTTGAGAGAAGGACACACACCTTTTCCAGGGGCCTACAGTGTCATGATTTTTAAGCACATCGGGCCGAAACTCGCTGGAAGAGTTGGGCTATTTTAGACCTGGCCTCAGTTGCTCAGCAGTGCTTCCGTACAGGAACTGGTCAAAGAGGGGATGGGATTTTTTGTTTTTTGACAGGTTTTGGTCACAGCCCAATTTGCGATTATTAAAGGTAGCGAATTTCCACGTTCGTTAACATCTGGCCCTATCTCCTGGAGCCTGGGGGAGAATAAAACAAGTCCTGGGAACGCAGGACACATGCCCGGGCCCATAGGATTAACTGCACCAGTCGATTTGCTCAGAGGCACCATGGCTCCCTACAAACCGGCCTCTCCCCCGAGCCCGGCAGAGGTCCTGTCGCAGCCCCCCGACCTCCGAGCACCCCCAGCTGGGTTTTGTCATGAAAATTTTGCAGCAAGGAGAGAGGCCGGCAGGCAAAGTATAGAATTACAAGGGTAATTCTTTGTTTATGTGCATGAGGAGTCCCGTTCACATTGGGACACCCTGAATGCAGTTTTACACACGGTTCTTACACCTTTCGTGTTTCAGGTACAACACGATTTGACCAATCACTATTTAACACACACATGCCACTGTTTTGCAAAGCAACTATAATTTTATGACGTCATCATCCATCTGCTTCTTTCTCGATCTGAATGCCCCTGGAGTTGGTCTTGCTGCAGTTACTTGTCTATGATGCCACGTAACGGGGCGGCGGGGCTCACAGAGGTGTTGGAGGGGCTGGGATGCTGGTGTTACCTTGGGTGCCCAGGGGCATCCTTTAT